TAAATAAATGCTAAGTTGTTCTCTTTGTTATGCAGGGCAACATTGCAAGGTGGTTGAAAAAAGAGGGAGATAAACTTTCTCCTGGGGAAGTGCTTTGTGAAGTTGAAACAGTATATTCTAATACCTTTTTGCAGTTGGAAGTTGAAAGTAGTTTTTTACTGCCTTTTAGTTGTAGGAATATTGCTTTATAATTTCTGATTCTGCATAATTGAAGGATAAAGCAACAGTGGAAATGGAATGCATGGAGGAAGGTTATCTTGCCAAGATAATTCATGGAGACGGAGCAAAGGAAATTAAAGTTGGCGAGGTATTGATATTGCTTTCTGTTAGTTCTCTTTCCCTCTTACCTCTGTGAAAACTAGAAGGGAAAAGGAGTGATTGCCGTATGATGGCAATGACCATCATTGTAAGCTATATCTCTAAATAGAGGCGTATGGACATTTTGTTTTCTGCATTTTATGTGGTTGACACAAACATTCTTCTTTAGGTAATTGCCGTTACCGTTGAAGACGAAGGGGATATAGCAAAGTTTAAAGATTATGAACCCACTTCATCAAGTTCTGGTGCTGGTGCTGCAGCTGCTGAGTCATCTGCCCCTAGCTCACCCAAGAAAGAAGCAGTTGAGGAACCAGTTCGTTCACCCGAGCCAAAGACTGTTAAGCAGGGCCCTGCTTCAGATGGAGAGCGTGTTTTTGCTAGTCCTCTGGCTAGAAAATTAGCAGAAGATAACAATGTTTGTTGGAGAATGTCTTTCTGAATTAAAATTTGGAAACTTATATTTGTAATTTCTTTTTGTTTATAGTTTAAATTTTCTGAGTGTAGGTACCCATTTCAAGTGTCAAAGGAACAGGTCCTGATGGGAGCATTGTAAAGGCTGACATAGAAGATTACTTGGGTAACTCATTTTCTTTATGCTGGGCAGTGGTTCCGACAGTTTATTTATTATTGTTCTATTGTCTTCTATCTGTTAATATTTGTTTATATTTAAGTTACCGTGAATATCTCTGTCTTCATACCCATTAATATGTTTCTTTTGTTAAATTGTGGCCCATTAATATCTTTTACCTTATGTCTCTAGCTTCACGTGGTAAGGAATCAACCACAGCCCCCAAAGCCAAGGATGCAGCAGGTGCACCATTGGATTACACTGATGTCCCACACGCTCAAATAAGAAAGGTCCGCCACCCCCTCTCCCCATCCCTCACTCCATACACTACATGATAATTGGATTTCTTGGTATTTTCTGGCAGCTTTTAGTGTAATATGGTGCCATTTCACTCTGCGGTGCCTTCATCTATGTTGTCAGTCTCTTTGTTTCCTTTTTCTTTAGCAACACATACAAGCTTGCACATGTTCCAAAAACACACTAGTACTGCAATTGTGTGTTTGCTTATGTCAGTCTCTACACCTTTCAACTGTTAGGATGTTCTATGAATAAATTACTTGTATTATTTGTTATATGCTCTGTTAGTGGCATCTCCATTTTCAGATTCAAATTGTTTTTATTGGATTGATAGACAAAACCTCCTAAATATTCCAATTTGGTGCATGTTTCCCCGAGCTAATGTTTTCAAAATTTTAACAGGTTACAGCATCACGATTACTGTTCTCAAAGCAAACCATTCCTCATTATTATTTATCCGTAGATGCATGCGTTGACAGGCTCATGGAGTAAGTAATTTCTCCATACCTTTTGCAGTTAAATATTAACCAAAGATTTAACTTAATGAGCTGTTGTTCTCTTTGTAGTTTGAGAAACCAGCTAAATGCATTACAAGAAGCATCTGGTGGAAAGAGGTTATCTGTTAATGATCTTGTTATTAAGGTATTTTAAAGGCATTATATAACTGGGTATGTAGTTCGATTGTACCGAAGCATATCATCAGTTTGAACTTTTAAATGTTAATTTGTCTTATCATTTTCCTAGGACCTTTGCCTTTTTTCCCCTTCTTTTTTGCTTGAAAAAAAAAAACTGAAAGCAGTATGCCTAAAACTTTTAGTAGCTTCCTTCCTTTCCATTCTCTGCTTGATGTGAAGTACTTGATTGGCGTTTTGTATTTTAGTTGTTTCCAAGTGATTTGAATGTTTGGAAGTTCTTATTTCTTATGGGTAAAGGAAATAGAGGAACAGTGCTCGACAACCTTTCTATCCAAACCCACCCTTTTTTCTTTAAAAAAATCATTTTAATCTCAGTAAGAACGTTGCTGCAGGCTGCTGCCTTGGCTCTTAGGAAAGTCCCTCAATGCAACAGTTCATGGACGGACAATTATATTAGACAGTAAGCTATAAGAATAGTTGATATTTGCTTATTGTCATTACCACATTGTGATGTGAATTTCTTTCTTGGTCCACTCATCCAGGTATCACAACGTGAATATTAATGTTGCAGTGCAGACTGACAACGGACTCTATGTTCCAGTTATCAGGGTCAGTAGTTGTCTTTGTAGATGCTGGTGAAATATTAGGCTTTTATAACCATTTTATAGAAGATTTGAGTTCGTGTATTTTACAGGACGCCGACAAGAAAGGTTTATCTAGTATTTCTGAGGAGGTCAAGAAATTGGCGCAGAAAGCGAGAGAGAACACTTTAAAACCAGAAGATTATGAGGTGGAATGTTGTTTTGATGCGTAGGACAAGATTTTTTAAATTTTTTTTTCATGGTTTAGGGATTTTAATCAGTAGTTTAATCCTTTTGTAGGGAGGCACTTTTACTGTGTCCAACTTGGGAGGTCCATTTGGCATCAAACAATTTTGTGCCATTATCAACCCTCCACAGTCGGGCATTCTTGCTGTTGGCTCTGGTATGCGGACCCTTTGTCATTCTGGATATCGAAGTATTTTTCATTTTTTCATTGCTCTAAAAAAATTTTAACTACCATTCACACATAATCTTGAGCCAGCCGAGAAGAGGGTCATACCAGGATCAGGCGCTGAAGAATTCAAGTTTGCTTCCTTCATGTCTGTCACGTTGAGCTGTGATCATCGCGTTATTGATGGTAGAAACATTACAGAATTCTGACCTGAAGTCGTTTAAGATTCTATATAATTTGAATGAGAAGTGTAAGCATTATGTTACATTGTTTTCTTCATTGTTTGTTCAGGGGCAATTGGTGCGGAATGGCTCAAAGCCTTCAAGGGCTACATCGAGAATCCTGAATCAATGTTGCTATAGATTGATCGACTTCTCCGGTTCTCACCAAACAAATTATCGTTTTGTCACATAAGCAGTCATATGGAAAGATATGAACTCGACCTCCTCTCTCTTTTCAAATTATTTTCAGCTTCAGTTTTATCCTTACAGCTCCTTTTTCGTAACCAAGGAGATTTGAAGTTTGCATAGACAACAGAAATAAGGTATATAGTCATTGTTGAGGAATTCAACTTCAAAACGAATCTAGGATGTAATTCATTTTTCGTTCCAAACCGGCCACATACTCTGGTTGATTTTCATATCAATAACGGATAGACGAAGAGGATTTTTTTTGTACGTTTCATTGACTGATAATATAGTCAATTGCTTCCATCTATTTCCCATCTAATAAGGTAATTTGTGAAGAGCTGGGAGACAGAAATGTGTCTAAACTCTTATTGGAATGATCTAAGTTTTTTTTTTCTTTTAAAGCCAACAGTTCCTTTCGATCTAATATACGTTATCTCTATAGATCTCGCCTGGTTGTAAGTGATCTGATATATGATATCTCAATCGACCTGCCCCGGTTGTAAGTTCTCTGATACTAGAGCTTTTCGTTTTATTGTAACCCATTCATCTGTAACTGAAACTGCAGATTTAAGTTTGATGAGTTGATGCAGAGAATCGAGTTTGAAGTTCTCCGTCGGTTTGCATCATTGTGACATAAAGTTTGATGAATTAGAAGCCGAAAGTATGAAGTCTTGCAAGTTGGATGGCAGAGTTTCACTCCCCAATGGAGATTTTGGTGCGAATGGGGGGCGATGGGATTCATGCATTTGAGCTACATCAAAATGTGTGCCAATTAATTTAGTTGAAAAACTAGAAGATAATGCTTTAAACGCCAATCTCTCACATTCCAAATTTTACTCGCAAATAGAATTTATATCTAAAGCTGCACAATCATGAATGAGCTCAACAAATAAAGTTGAACCCTCCCTTTTCTTTTTCTTCAAAAAGGAAAAAAGAGTAAACATATAGGTGGAAGGGAGAATTATTCTAAGCTTGATAGGTACAAAATATATGAAATTTTGTATAAACTATGTAGACCCCCAAGTTTATAACATAACCCATCGACCGAATCGATCACAAGTTACACAAATTACTATCTTTTATAAAATAATCGAACTTAGTAAAATCAACCTATGAATAATTCAATTCATACATGGAAATCATATAAAACTAAACTCAGATTCATCCAATCCAAAAGAACTGACATAAAAGAGAAATAAAATAAAATAATGCATGTAATTCCCTTTTTCTTTATACACATATATTATGTAGAAAATAAAAAAAAAGAATTAATTTAGCACCGCCATTCTGATAGATTATTTCTAAAAAAGAAATATATTAGGTTTGTTGTTACGTGAGAGTAGGGGAGAAGATGAAGAAGAAAAAAGGAGGCGAATTTGTGAATGACAAAGCAAAGTTGTCCACGTGGCATTTGCCCAAACGACCCTCCTTTTTGACAGGTCCATACGCCATCGACATGATTGGTCCCCAGTGGACTTTTCTGTTTTTTTTTTTTTATAATTTTTAATTTTTTAAATTTTCCACAAAAAGGAGTAGGAAAGTATGTGGACACGTGGCTTTTCTCATGAAAGATCCATGAGTTAATAATCCTTCGGTGGTATGAATCGAGCATTTTTCTGTCGCGGACTGCTTTCAACAATGCAACCTAATTACTTTTATTCTCCATACGTGTCCTTCAATGGATCTGCATTTTCCCAAATCAAAAACTCACCCATTTTTTTATAAACAAAAACCAATCCTTTTTCCTCCTAATTATTATTAAAAAAGATTTTTTAAAATTTCCCATCATTTTCTCTCTCTCGTGAAAGAGAGGATAAATATAGAATCAAAGTCATTGTAGAGCTCTGGATTCTACTCCTACACTTTCAACTGGTGGGAAACTAATCGTTGTTCATTTTCTTCTTCTCTTCTATTGCTATTTTGCCTAATTTCTTGCTCTTTTTGTTCTAATGGGATCTTCAAACCTTTCGTTCTAGTTCATTTCCGTGTGGGTTTTGGCGTTTTGGTTTTAAATAAGAAGAAGGAAGGAAGGTTTTGGTAGAAGAAGATTCGTGGGTTTGGATCGGATTTTGATGGGTTGCCTTGGATCCAGGAAACTCTGAAGTTTTATGAGAAAAAAGAGGCGAACCCTTTTGGGGATTTCTTGTGATTTCGCTTTGTTTTAGATCCATCCACTTGTGATTTCACTTTGATTTACATCCTTCCACTTGGATAAATGTTAGAGATACTCGTTTCTCATACTCTTGTGTATATAAGAACTGATAGCGGAGAAAAGATTGTTGATGGTTGGCTGTTCTTATCAGGAGGGGGAAGAATTTGATGAAGTTTTTTGGTGGAATTTGTTGTTTTGTCATTGATTGAATTTAAATTATTGCAAGCTTAGATCCACTGTTCCTAAATAGATCTAAGGATTTGGTGGCTGCTTTTTGTTCTGCTTGTTTTGAGCTTACACTATTCAGAATCTGCCATTTGATTTTTGGTTGAAACGTTGTGGGTTTGTGTTAGAGGTTATAAACCAGCCTAGTTTATGTCAAGTTTGATTGCTAAAATGTTATGATAGTGAAAGAAATTGGATGATAGATAGATACATAGATTATCTGAAGGATTAGTGAAGAATGATGGAAGAGATGCCTTCTTCGGTTTCTTTGACCCTTAGTTTAGGCAATCCAAAGTCTGATACATCAGGAAGTCCTAGCCATGTCGAATTTACGCGGCTAAAGTTGGTGACAGACAAGGTAAATTTGTTCTCTGCATCGACCGCTGACTCGGGTCCTATTAGTAATGGTAGTTGCCATGGTTTTAGTGGTATAGTCGATAGCATAACCGTGTCGCAACCAAGTGATAGTAGTCAAGGTCGAGATGGTTTTTGGGGGTTGTTGCCAACGAATGGCGTAAGTTTGACTGTCGATAAGGAAGATGCTACCTTATCTTCTATGGGTGACCCTGATGAAATGATAGATGATGGGCTGTTTGCTATTGATGGTGGTTCTAATCTTAATGTACAAGAAGTTGTCAAGATTGGAGATGTGAGTAATGGTCATGTTGTTGCCAAGGCTATTATCTTGGTGGAATCAGGGAAGATTCCTACTAGTGAACTTATTGTGGCAACGGTAAGCTCTGATTTAGAAGTATCGACATCGTCAGAGCTAAAAGCCCCTGCGGTGGTTTTCCAATCGAAAGGGGGGGATGGTGTTCATAAAGGCATTCGGAGTGTCTTTGAGCGGGATTGTGTACCCCTTTGGGGGTCGGTATCGATTTGCGGTAGAAGACCAGAAATGGAGGATGCAATTGCTGTGGTTCCTTGTTTTTCTAAGGTTCCTATCAGAATGCTTGTGGGAAATGGAATGGGTCAAAGTTTAACACATCTCAACAGCCATTTTTTTGGTGTTTATGATGGACATGGCGGCTCTCAGGTAACACTTCTTTACCGAACACTTAGCTAATTTGCTGCTTTGCTAGCTTTAGATTATTCTCGAATTCGGCGTCGTGTTCTGAATCAAGAAAAGTTTTATTTCATGTAGGTTGCAGATTATTGTCGAGAGCGCGTACACTTAGCATTAGCTGAAGAGATTAAAGGATTTAAGCAAAATCTAAATAATGGAAGCAATGGAGAAAACTGGGAGAAGGATTGGGAGAGAACCTTTAACAATTGCTTTGTTAGAGTGGATGATGAAATAGAAGGAAAAGTTGGTAGCTTCAAACCTGTTGCCCCGGAAACTGTTGGCTCTACTGCCGTTGTTGCCTTGGTCTGCTCATCACACATCATAGTTGCAAACTGTGGTGATTCTAGAGCTGTTCTATGCCGTGGCAAAGAACCGATGGCGCTATCGGTCGATCATAAAGTATGCTATGCATCCGATCCCATATAGAATGATAGAGCAACCTCTATCTTGTGAAGGAACTAATTTATAAATATAATTTTTCCACAGCCAAATCGTGAAGATGAATACGCTCGGATTGAATCATCTGGAGGCAAGGTCATCCAGTGGAATGGACATCGTGTGTTCGGAGTTCTTGCAATGTCAAGATCCATTGGTAGGTTGTCATTTTGGATCAAATCTTTTAGCTTTTGCTTGTGTATCAACATTAGATAATCTCAATCTTTACATATCTAACAGGTGATAGATATTTGAAGCCATGGATCATTCCCAACCCGGAAGTCATGTTTGTTCCTCGAGCGAAAGGAGATGAATGTCTTATTTTAGCCAGTGATGGCCTGTGGGATGTGATGACAAATGAGGAAGTCTGCGAAGTGGCTCGAAGGCGGATTCTTCTTTGGCACAAGAAACACGGAGCTTCATCGCTCACGGATCGGGGCATGGGAGTTGACCCAGCTGCACAAGCTGCAGCAGATTACCTCTCAATGCTTGCTCTCCAAAAGGGAAGCAAAGACAACATCTCTGTGATTGTAGTAGACTTGAAAGCTCAAAGGAAGTTCAAGACCAAATCATGAGAACAAAGAGTTTATCAACCCGAACTTGCCCTCCAAGTTCATAGCTCGATATCTCGAGTAGCAGTTCACAACTTAATCCATTTGTACTCTCTCGAGTTTTAATCATTTCCAAAATATAGAAAAATTGTATATGTATCATAGAACTTCCTCATGAAAATGCACCTAAAAAAAAGAAGAAAGCATCTGTAGTGAAAAGTTGTAATCTATGCTTTCGGAGTGCAGAGTGCACCATACGAATACTTGATGATGCCATCTATTCTTTGGTTTGTTTTAGCCAATTCCAAAGTTATGGGGATAATGCAAGTATTTGGTTCTGCTCATATTATATTGTTACTTCATTATTACTTTTCAATGCTGGGGATAGAGGGTTGGAGAGCAACATTTCCTTTGTATCCTGGGGGTTGTGTTAGTGTGTTGATTTCGGATCATCTACAAGTTCTTTAAAATATTCATTTCATTTGCCTCCAAATTTGGATGCGATTGTGTTGTCCGGATGGAGCCAAACCATGAATGGCCACCTATACATGGTCGGTAGGAGTTCCTTATTTTATCTACCAGAAACGTTGAAGAAGTATCCTCACCTTTAATTTCTAAGAAGATGAAAACAGTAGGTGAATCGAGAATTTATTTTACATCACCACAATTTTACCAAATATGCTTCAAATTCCATCTCGCAAAAATTAATGATGTAACATTGTCAAGTTAATGAATCTCTGCAACACCTCAAAGGCTCGAAGGACAGGTTTAAAAAACAAAAAATAAAAATACTACACCAAACGTAGGAGATTAAAATGAAACAGAACCAACCAATAATTGCGACCTGACCACCACAATATTCTACTTGCAGTTTACAAACTGGCACTTTATAAAACATGCCAAACAGATTGCAGCAAACAAGTTCTTGCTCTACACTACAGTAATCAATAGGGAACTTACATACTAAGAATATTTGTATATCAAGACCGAGGGGGTGGGGAATATCAATGAAGAAACGAAAGCCGTAATCAGAATGAACTGGTTAAATTGGTAAAACAATTGACAGAAATACGAAACCCACAAAAGAAGAAAAAAAAATGTAGGGTAGTGAGCCAAACTTTAGATGTACACAAATCATTGCTACCGGAAAGGAATTTGATTTATTGCGCTTGATGAAGTGCAGTGGAGATCCAATCAGAGGCAGCTGTTTGGATGTCCAAACCAATGTTGGGGGCGAGGGAAAAGGGGGTTATTGCAACCTGTTCGCCAGAAGAAATTTATTTCATCAAAGTATTAAAAGGAAAAAATAAAGAAAGTTAATCTGAGAAGGAAAAAAAAAAAAAAAAAGAAGATTTATCAGAAAGAAGGGCTTGTACTGGAAAGAAAAAGAAAACAAAATAGATCATTCAACATGGTTATCAATTGCTTTCAGTTGTGTAGCTGATTCTTCTTAAAGCAAACAGAGTTTCTTTTCAGCCAAGGACCCACGGGAGATTCTTATCAGCAAGGATACCATTCAGATGAGAACAGTGTCTAGCTGGGAGGAGTTAAGCACTAAAGATATGGCAGGTAAATTAAGCTAAATTTAGTACCAAAATTGAGGTCGAAGGTCAATCAACTTACAAATTCATTTTCAAGGGCTCTAAAATCCAGATCATCGTTCTTGTCCTCCTGCTCCTTATCCAGAAACTGCACGTAGAAAAAATGTGATTCCTCATGATATTATGGATAGATGTATGACCAAACAAAAAAAAAACGATTATCAGATCTATATAGCTTAGGGGTAAAAATTCAGAAACAGCACATGAGCATGCCGCTGAGAGAGAATCACAACCACAGTTTATTCGACACCATCTCCGCTTCCAACCAGTGGGCACAATTCTAGAAGTTAAAACTTAATGGCATTCTTCAAACTGAATCTAAGATTCATTTTCTAGTCAATACCTCCATTCGGAAGAACTTCTTCACCCGATCAGAAACAGATTTTTCCACTGCTCCAGTTGATTCAATTTCCACAATATTCTGCCGTTGTGTGGTCAAGCGGCGAGCTGCTCCCTAATTAAAATATATATATATATATATATTACTCCAAACAAAAAAACAAACCAACTGCACAGAGATGCTTCCTTCTCAAGAATATAAATTGTTAAGACGATATGTTATGAAGTACTCGACAAATAACTCTACTTATAAAGAATCCAAATGTGACGAAGCATCAAGTTTTATTGAAGCTCCTTACAGCAGCAGAGGCATCTCGACCAAGTTGTGCAAGCTGAAGACCAAGACTTTGCTGATTGGACATATACTGTCCTGCAGGATACCTGCTGGCCGAAACAGCATTCCAGTTTAGAGTAGACCTCCACACACTTTGCTTTGTTGACTTAAATCCCTGTCAAAAAAAAAAAAAAAAGTCAACCATACTGACCAATAATAGCAAGAAATTACACCCTGAGACAATAAAATGATAGCAAAACAATCTCTCTGCATTTAAAAGAAAAAAAAAAACAAATTGATAACTTCCCTCGCCATAAGCTGCATAAGTATTATAGAAATAAAAACAATTGTAGCTGGGGCAAAGGAAAAGATTTGAAAAAATATTTCTAGAGATAATATACAAGACCACATTGCAGGTTGACTACTTAGGAACAACAAGTTGAGGATTGTGTAACTAAAGCCGTAACTTTGACCATAACTGAAGCAGTGGCCAATTAGCCATTACCTTTTAAAGCTGTCAAAATAGAAGGACCTTACTGAAAAAAGATAATGACTAGTGAAAGAGGAACAACATCGCAAGGGTTGATATGAAGTGGAACTGTCTACAATATTGCATATTGCAGACTCATAATTTACCACATTTAGCACACGTCAATTCTAGGTCTATCAGATTCTCAACTAATTTTCCCTACATGATACAAGGGAATGGGTTTCCATTTAACTTCTAGTTGATTTGATTAAACCACTCAACTATGCATTCTAAAGATCATAAATCACCTGTTCAAGTTCAGGCAGAAGTAAATTCAGACGAAATAGCACCACAAATTCCTAATTACAACCTACTAGCATTTTTCGAATATATTTATCCATCAAGATAATCAGAACAATTTTTAAAAAGTACAAGGACAGTGCAAAACCTTGTTACTCAGCGGCGAAGTAGGTATTTCAATGTTGAGAGAGCAACGTTTAGGGAAATTTTCCTTTTCTATGTCATTGATAGCTGCATTTATCAAAGGCAAACAGACTGAAACAGCGTCCTTGAAATCACTTTCTTGGCTTTGATCCTTCTTCCTGAAGTAAAATAAATATAGGAAAAAGGACTTTAAGGATAATAATTAAGCAGCAGTGAAGCTCAATAAGGAAAATACAACATCAACCAACCAATTCAGAGATATTGATATAGATGGTACACCACAAATCAATGCCTCCCTTGCTCCAGCAACGACACCTGAGTAAAACCTGGCAGATTTAAACAATCAAATTTGGCACTAGATTAAGGATCAAATCATATTATAGGAAAAGGACCAAAAGATAATTATTGTGAAAAAAAGGAAAACATTGTGGTCTACACTGACATCTTCACATAACAAACAGAACTTACATGTGATGACCACAGCTCGATCCCCGGTTAATTCCACTAATGACCTGAAATTTATATCAAATATATCCTCGTGACATGTTACTGATAATTGAATTAGGTTTAGAAACCCCACTGCTATGATCTAAAAATGCTAACCAGAAGAGGCTTCGACCAGGAAAAAAGAGCTCCAGATAATGCTAAGGAGACACAATCTGCCGGCGTTCCTGAGGAAGAGTAACCGAGTGCAATTAGGTATTGGAATTTCTTCAGCCTACAGGAAAGGATGATTGTTTGTGTACAGCCAATAGCCAAATAGAAAACAAGTTTTAAATTAGATCAGTTAGCGATAAACACCATGCTTCTGGCTGATGAATTGAACTTTATAATTTAAACCAAAAAATAAAAGATAAGACGAAATATAATACACAAACAGGAGAAATCAGAGAATATACAAACCCCAAATTTAATCCAAATTGATCATGTTCATGACAGGTTAAGACAGTTGAAAAAATATAATATGAAAGGGCAACCGCAGCAATATTCATACCCGAAACTTCATAGGCTGTGGCACCGTCAATTTGAGCAGAAGTCGCAGCAACGGTTTCTCGAAGAGTCACAGAATGACTCGAAACTGATTTGTCCCTGCAGCGCAGATTCCGAACTATTTAAATCACAAGCGTTCAATATTCAATTACGAAGATACCAAGATGCCAAAAAAAGTGACAGTAATCTCCATAACAGGCAACAAACATTGAAAGAGCGCTTAAATAGCCAAAAGATAAATCCAATCCGCAATAAGACGAAAGAACATCAACTCACGATTGCGGAGCGCAAACATGGACGTTGTAAGAGCCTTGACGAACAAGGCCTTCGACGAGGTAAGTGAGGCCAGGAGAGTCGATTCCTTCGCTGTTAGTAACAAGAATAATCGGCTTCTGAGTTCCGGAAACCTCAAGATTGGCATCAGAAGTAGGAGAATGAGTCTCAGCGGATGCAATAACATCCTTGGATTCTTCGCCTTGTTCACCGGCGCCCTTTTTGCTGCGAAGAGCATCTTCAAGATTGGAAACAAGGCCCGGAGGCAAGAAGTTCTTCTTCACAGAAGTCGAGGAAGTCATAGACTTCAAATTCAAAAGGATGATTGATGAGAAATGAAGAAAAAGGAAGAAGAAGCTTGTTCTGTGGAAGGAATCAGAAATCAGAACCCTAGAATCAGAGTTAAATGAGCAGAAGAAGACGAATAAAGTGCTGAAACTGAAAACGGTGAAATTGCCGAGGGAAGATAGATTGGTGGTCCGGTTCAAACGGCGTTACTTTCGTAGAGAGAGAAGAAGAAGAAGAAGAGGAGAGAGAGTTTACTGGTTGTTATGGCGTCAGCTAAAATGGAGAAGAAGAACGGGAAATTCCAAATAAAAATAAAAAATAAAAAAATAAACCATTTTCTAAAGGCCAAATTTTTGGATTATGGAATTTAAAAGACATTTATAACCTTTTCCCTTCACAAATGTAGAGAGCCCCAAAATTCAAATTACTCCCTTTTTATTGATTCTCGATGCAAGAAAACCTCCCATTTTTATTCAAAACTTAGACCGACATGTATATTTAATTTATAGGTAAAATTAAATTGTGCCTACAAATTTATTATTATTATTATTTTTGTCTATTATCATCCAATTAATCCAATTAATCCTAAGATTTAAAAAATTAAACTATAACTTTATAACTAGGAATATGCTACATAACCTCTCATTTATTTTCTCTTAAAATATAAATGAAAAAAATATATATTATTTTTAGCAAATATTTTATTTTGTAATTTTCTCGTCTCATTATATTAGTTTATGATGTGATTTACTAATTTTCTATTTCACCTATTTTTTATTTTCAAATGATGAGACGTTTGAGGATATTTATGTCTTTATTTATAAGTAAAGATATTTGGCTTATTTAGCAATATTATTGATTGCTTGCCCGGCTTTACAATTGTATATAATATTTATGTTCAAGTATTCCATTTGTATATATTATTGCCCAAATAAACAAATATATATATTTACATATAGATGTTTTCCTAATGTTTTCAAATATTCCATTCAACGTATATTTAATATAAGTGGACGTCCAAATAAAAATTAAATGGTACGAAATTCAGATTTCTGATCTGGATTAAACTTTGAACACATTAATTATTGAATTAATAATGCAATTAAACTCTAATGAAATTTAAAGTATGAATTTTAAGGAGAATGAGCTAAAAGTTAGGCCAATTAAGCGACTAATCACCGGCTACAATTTCTAACATTTGGCCGTTTTTGGACCCAACTTCTTTTTGAAAAACTCAGCATTGAAATTGAAAAAAAGGCAAGAAAGAGAATAATGTAATTCAAGCTGACGTGGTGGACCCCAGTCCGTTTCTGAAACTAAAACTTTATGGTTTCCACGTTGGCTTGCCCCGGACGGGGATATACTTATCCCGTTCCGTTGTCGCATATCTTCCCGAATCCAAACATACGTGCAATCAAGGTACGTTTCGAATTCGATTCTTCCAACAAATTTTAATATAAGAAAAAAAAAAGAGTCTGTTTAATCTTATTTTGAGTTTGATTCCCATTTCGTTTAAAAATACAAATTTTTTTCTATCTTAGTTTTTAATAATTTAAATAATGAAAAACGATAAAATTGAATTCATAATTCACTATTTGCATCTAAATTTAACTCATCAACCACTTGAAATAATAAATATACTGCAGTCTTATTTTTCAGTTGTGCTTCGATATTATTTATTGTGCTATTAAACTTTAAAATAAATCTAGTGATTGTCATAGTTAAATGTTTCGTTACATCGACAATAATTATGTTGTTATTTTTTTTATAATGAATTAAATTTTAGCGGACGAGAATTGAGCAATCATGTCATCTTTTAAAGCATGGAAATGATTTTTTTTTTTTTGCTCGAATGATGTCTAGAAGCATCTTGAATTGAGTTTTTGACTGCTTTCAATCCATTATTTCACCAACTTTATACTTCCTTCAAATAATTGCTATAAACTTTTATCTAAATATGAAAAGTTATTTATTTTTATTTTTCAAAAGAATCAAGCCCATGTTCAACCCCGTAGAAAATACTCAAATAATATTCGCATTAAAAAAGTTGACAATAATTATTTTTCAACACTACCAAATAATACATTTTAAAAAATATATTTGGGTATTTTTATTTTGTTAATATTCATGAATAAGTAGATTTTCTCTTCTTATTTTAAAAATTAAAATTGAGTATGAGAAGGAAAAGAAAAAACACTTTTTAAGTTTTTAAATTTTCATGAAAATAACAATTAATTTTTTTTTTAACTTTACTACTTAATAATTTAATATTTAATGTAAAAAGTTTCATTAAAACTAAATTGGTTATTTAATAATTTAGATTCGGTAAGTCATAAGCATATATTTTTTTAAATAATTATGTAAATTAGAGTCTAATTTGCTACTAAACACGTAAATAATCTTTTAGTTTCGCTAAGAATATTTCATACAAAGTGCTTCGGTATGATTAATATCGGGCAAGCCCAACGGACCGCGTGTAATGGACAGATAGCGGCTCCATTTTTATCTCTTTATCCCCAAAATCCCTCCAAAACTTTCTCCTAAAAGAGCGTGCATCTTCTCACCCATCTGTGGCCATGACATTCTTCGTTAGAGGCACTTACCCTCACAATCTATCTTCAACTGCCATGGCAATGTCCTCAAGCTTTTGCCCTCGCCTTCCAGTCCAATTCGGAACAAAACCCATTTTCCATATCCCCACGAAACCTTCATTCTCTCTGTCTTTCAAGGCTCTCTCTGTTCAAGCATCCTATGGATCGTCTGGTAAAGGTAATGATATGATAAATCGTTTTGATTCTTCTATCTCTTTGTAGCTTTAAGCACGCTGGTTTTGATTCTGCATTTGAAGTTAAGTAGAATTCTCGGATTTCCTTGTGAATTGAGCTGTTCGGTTTCAGTTACTGACGAATGTTCGTGTAGTTTTCTTGAGGAAGGCTAGGGATGGGAGTTTATTATAATGCCGAAGAAATTCTACTGGAATTTAGTTTGAGTTATCGATATTACGAAATTTGTTTAAATTCGAGTACAGGGAGATAGCAATTATTAGTACTTTGTGTTGATGCTGTAGCAATTATTAGTACTTTGTGTTGATGCTGTAACTTGTAACTGACATTCGGGAGAGTTTTTTCTTGTTAAATCTCGACGTCCACATTTAAAATTATAGGTAAGACAGAAGAAATATCAAAATTGTCATTATATTTATGATCCATTTTAGAACTCATTAGTTAGCTATGATTTATGAACTCTTAGAAATGGCTCATATATTTTCTAAGTGAACCGTCTGCTATTATCTTAATGCATGCTTGTTTTTGTATCAACAGAAGAGCTGCGTGTTGGCTTCCTTGGTCTTGGTATCATGGGGGCACCAATGGCACAGAATCTTATAAAATCTGGGTACTAGGGTATTGCTTGATTGGTGTTTCATTACTGCTGGTTGTTAATTGCATTCTGAATTTGTATGATGAAGAATTAATGCGGATTTTCATAAATGAAATTTGGATTAGAATTATGATCACGTATTTTCTGATAAAAATACAAAATGTTTCTGTTGATAATATATACGTCCCCTCTTACCTATTCATGTTTTTTTATCAAATCAGTTCCTTGAAGAGGCTAATTGTTTACAACTTATATTATATGTGATTCCCTTACCGGTTTATGGCAGCTGTGATGTGACTGTTTGGAATAGGACCAAGAGCAAATGTGAGCCTCTCATTAATTTGGGTGCAAAGTGAGTTTCTGATGTGCTTGGTGTGAAATAGTGTGCTTATTTTCTCCTTTTATTGATCTTTTTCTTACTAAGGTGTGAATGGAAACCATTTGAAGTACTCTTCAGAATCAGTTTTTCTTACGAAATGTACTTTTTTTAAAAAATAAAATGTAATTTTGTTTCCTACAGAAAATGATTTGGAAATTTCCATTAATATTCAGATAAATCGGTTTATACAGATACCAGTCTTCTCCGCAGGAAGTGGCAGCGTCTTGCGATGTCACATTTGCAATGCTTGCTGATCCTAACAGTGCAGTGAGTATATTACATTTGTAGTTACTATAATCGTGCTAATATCTCAACTTTAAGCAGCTCAAAGTTGCGCTTTTTTCAGCTGGATGTTGCTTTCGGGGAAAATGGAGCTGCAAATGGAATGGCTCCAGGAAAAGGGTATCGCTTTTTTTCGTTTACGGTGTGTCAATTCTTGTGAGATTCCACATCGGTTTGAGAGGGGAACGAATCATGTTTTCTAAGGGTGTGGAAACCTCTCGCTAGCAGATGCGTTTTAAAACCTTGAGGGGAAACCCGAAAGGGAAAGATCAGAGAGGACAATGTCTGCTAACGTTGGGCTTGGGCTGTTACAAATGGTATCAGAACCAGACACTGGGCAATGTGCCAGTGAGGAAGCTAGGCCCCAAAGGAGGATGAATTGTGAGATCCCACGTCAGTTTGAGAGGGGAACGAAACATTCCTTATAAGGGTGTGAAAATCTCTCCGTAGCAGATGCGTTTTAAAACCTTGAGGGGAAATCCGAAAGGGAAAACCTAGAGAGGACAATATCTGCTAGCGACTCTAGTTAACATCAAATCCAGTTTCTCCTCTAGTTAACATCAAATCCAGTTTCTCCTCCAAACATCATTTACTGTTCTGAACAAAAGAGTTCCTTTCTTATGTGCATGTAGATATTATCATCATTTAGTTTAAGTTCCATTCATGCAGTTTCATATTTCACCAGGTATGTGGATGTTTCAACGGTTGATGATACTACTTCCAAGTTGATCAGTGCACGTATAAAAGATACCGGAGCTTCGTTTTTGGAGGTAGGTGATTCAATATTCGATCGTAAAATAGAGATTATAATGCATATAAAGAGCAGTTAGGATGATTTTTGTTGGGATAATTTCGGACATGATAAGATTAACAAGTGAAATTTTAACTCAGCTCTTGGAATTTCCTTCTAGGCTCCTGTTTCGGGTTCCAAAAAGCCAGCAGAAGATGGACAGCTGATATTTCTTACTGCAGGTCAGAAATTTGCTCATATTCTTCGCTATATTCAAGAGTGTCACGTAGTCACTTGAACTATAAACCCGAGAAGATAGCGTTGTTTAAATAATGGAACCGTTCCTTAAAGTTCTTGTGATGATTTCTTTCTGTTTTCAGTATCATAAGATCTTTGTTTATCCCTCAGAGCTAGTGTTTTATTATCCTATTAGGAGGATTACGATACTGATGTAGTAGCTGCATATTCAGGTGACAAATCTCTCTATGAAACTGTTGCTCCATTTTTGGACATCATGGGGAAGGTATAACTACAAATACTTTTTTCACCATTCATGAATGTCTCGAACATGATGATATAAACTTAACCATTTCCATGTGTGTGTATGTATATATACTGTCAGTCGAGATTTTATCTTGGCGATGTCGGAAATGGAGCTGCCATGAAACTAGTTGTCAACATGATCATGGGAAGGTTTGGCCCAAATTTTACCATCAATCTTTTTTACCAATTTCTGATTAATATCTTGGATCTTGACAATTGCTCCCCTTTTAATTTTCCAAATACTTGAAGCATGATGGCAGCTTTTTCCGAAGGACTGCTTCTTAGCGAAAAAGTAGGACTCGACCCAAATGTTGTCGTTGAGGTATATTATCATGCACATACATTTTAAAGCTATTCAAATGTTCAAAAACTTCACTGGAACAATTCTGTTAATTTTTAGTACCTACCTTCTTGTGTAACATTCATTGTGATTTTCGGCCTATCATGGGCGACGAAGACGACTGCGTTGGTCACGGGTGGGGAATAATCTTCGTACATTGTGAAATTACAGGTAGTTTCTCAGGGTGCCATTAATGCACCAATGTACAAAATGAAAGGACCATCAATGATCAAATCCCAGTACCCCACTGCCTTTCCCTTGAAACATCAGCAGAAGGTTTGTAAATCCGAAAGGCCTTTGTTCGGGGGTTTAACAAAACTTTTAACTTCTTGGTCGATGATGACTGTTTGTGTTGTTTTATAAAGAGACGTTTTTCGTGGCAGGATCTAAGGCTTGCTCTGAGTTTGGCAGAATCAGTATCTCAATCCACTCCCATTGCAGCTGCAGCAAATGAATTGTACAAGGTAGCCAAATCTCATGGACTTAGCGATCAGGATTTTTCAGCTGTCATTGAAGCTTTAAAAGCAAAGTTGCAGCAGTGATTACAATAACTATCACTTCAACTTCTTTTCTCTTCAATTGTATTTGTAAAATCTAAAGAAGTATTCGATTGAAAAATAATTTTAGTCTAAATTCTCATAAAATAATATGTTCGTTAATGAATTTTAGTTTTAGTTTCTGCACTTTAGAATTTATAAAAATTTAGTCCACATCAAGAAAAATATTATTAAGATTTAATGAGATTTCTATGTATTTATGGAGCTCATTAAACTTAATAGGACCAAATATGTTAAATTATGAGTCGCTATATAATTCTAATTTAATTTTGTATACAAATACTATATTATTACATATAAAAATTTACGTGATAAATTATTATCAGTTTGAAAGCACATTAATTAAATTGTAACAATTTAAGGACCCAAATGTTGTCGGGAGTTTATTGGAGGATGCCACGCGTCGCTTTTGAGGTTCTCTTCGAAAAGCTCCAATTCCGCAGAAATAGGAACCTAGGCTACTAAACGACGTCGCATCGGGCCTTATTGGTCCAACAAATTGGTTTCCCTCGCCAATCAAACGCTGTCATTTAACACTGAAAGAAAACCTGAAAATCTCTGTTTGGAGTAACACTGATCGCAGCTGCGCTGTTATTTCATTCAATCATTCGCTCTCCATCTTCGACGATCTTCGTCTTGTAGCACAGAAAAATCAAAGCAACTCCGATATGTCAAGTTCTGGCTTCTCTATTCCGGATGCAACTGCGGCCACTGGTAATTTTCGCTACTGCATTTTGTACCTAAAAACCTGTAGACGTAATTGGAACTTTTTTGTTGATAGCTCGGTTTACGTGTAGTTTTGGAGATGCTTACTTGTATTTGCGATCTTTGAGTTGAGTATGTGGTGGAGATCATTAGGATCATTAGCTGTGATATTAGTTGCGAGTTGATTTGAACAAATTCATTATTGTTAGATGGAAATGATAGTTCTCAGTTTTTTTCCTTGGAAACGTAACAGTGCTTGCAGGTGTTGGAGTTCTTATCAATGTTTCTTTGGTTGTCCAAACTGTACCAACAAAGACATAACGTTTTTGGAAGTTCTTGTAGCTAGTTTGGTTTACATGTAGTTGTGATGTTAGTCGGAGCTGCATTTTCTTCCTTGTAGTTGCGATCTTTGAGTTGAGTATCCAGCGGAGATGATTTGGTCATCTTTCTTCCTTGGTAGAGCTGTGATATTATTTGTTAGAAAGATTGATAGTTCCCGTTTTTGTTCTTGGAAATATAATAGAGATCTGTTGCTTTTGGAGTTCTTATCTATGTTTCTCTGTTTGTGCCAATTTTCGTAATGCTACTATCTCTACCAAAAAAGGCATAACATAATTGGAGGTTTTTGTAGATAGTTCGGCTTATATGTAGATGTAGCTGTTAAGCGGAACTGCATTTACTTGTTGCGATCTTTGATCATTTTTCAGCTTTGATAAAGTTGTGATATCAGCTGAGTATCGGTGTGGACACATTTATCCAAATTACAATGAATTAGTAGCTCACATTTTTGTTATTGAAAATAAAGTAGTGAACGACAGAGTTGGAGTTCTTTCTGTTGTCTGTCATCGTGCGGATCTTTGTAATGTGCGCTCTAAGAAAATTTCATAGCCGGAGAAAATTATGAAGTGGAAGCTGCAATTGCACGATTTTGGAGGTAGTTTCATAATATCGAGGATAGGCACAACGGATTTTGGAAGGTGGAAATGTTGGAGAAGGCACGTTCATAATCATTCATAAGAATGCTTTCACGAATGATGAAATAGAGAGATTTTACCGCTAAAGCGTTGACGAGAGTGACTAATATTCCTTTCTCCTCCTTTAGGAATTGAGTTTCAGCTTTTAGTTGAATTCTTTTTTAATGGACCTTTTGTCAAATCTCTGACATACCTTTACTTATGTTCAAATCAGCAATACTTGGGATAAACAATTTGAAAATAAGGCCATAGAAGTCCTGGGATAGTCTGGATTGAGTGGACATACCGGTCCAATTAAAATTTACTAAAACGACGCAAATGATTTGTTTTCCGCACTGAAAATTAGAAAGCAACGAGATTATCAGTGTAGTGGTTTCTAAATTTTGGAGGCTCGATTTATTAATTTCACAATTCCGCTTTGGTCTGTCCATTTTGTGCTTTTGTTCTTGCTTTCTGGAAAGTTCACTAGCTTGCAAACATAACATAGCTCCCTCAATTTTTGTTTATGCAGGAAAGCTGCGCGTTGGCTTCTTAGGTCTTGGAATCATGGGTTCACCAATGGCACAGAATCTTATAAAATCAGGGTATGACTTATGGAGGATGTGTTTACTTTCTTTTTTTTCACTTTCGAACCTCCTTCTAAATATATATCATTAATTTAAATATTTTCCATAGTAGAGGTTGACTAAGATATAATCACAATGTCATGTTGATTTTAAAATTACAAAATTTCTTTGTTTCATGTACTTTGGCCATTCCAGTTGATGAAACCCGACAGCACGTGTCTTATTTACTAGAGTTAGGTTTCTTTTGCTATCATCTACCCTTGAATCTTTTTTATATGTGGTCTCCTCTGGTTTGTTGTAGATATGATGTGACCGTCTGGAACAGAACCAAGAGCAAATGTGATCCTCTTATCAACTTGGGTGCAAAGTAAGTCCTTGATGTTCTGAGATGTATATGTATATGTATATGTATATCTATATACATATTATTTGCTGCATTTTGAGGATTTGATTTCCAATATACATCTGTGATGTGGTAAGGTTTTCCTGGAGCATAAGGCAGTGGTAAGACTTTTGTGTAGTGCTTGGGGGAATAGGATTCGAGAAAGGAAAAGGAGAAGTAGGGGGAGAAGGTCTAGGAATTAGTATTTTTCTCCGTCTCATTATCGTGTCTGGCTAACAAGGAAAGGAAACATATATTTCATTAAGTGAATGAGCTATCCAAGAACTTCGAATGAAATTACGGAAAAGCACTCCAGGAACGAGAGAAACAGTAACATTGCGTGTCGTTCCCTAATGCTCTGTTTGTTCCTTAGAGATTAGCAGTTTTCCAAATACTAAACTAGAAGTAGGCTTGTATTTGAAACGTAATGTATTTTAATAGGGAACGAAACAGTTTGAAAGTCTCTAATGAAGAATAGAAAAGTGGAGGATTTAAGACCCCTTTTAACCAAAAACCACCGAAGTCAATTGGTTGGTATCCTAGAAGTTATAGAAACCGTTCTCAAATTTGTTTGAATTAAACAGAAAGAATTAATTACAAAACTATGTAGACGGTGTAGCCCATGTAGAAAACACCGAAGCGAACAAAATCTATGATTTCCTTCTCGTCTCTGAACTTAACTTATTTCCAAAAAATTGTCTACTCCTCTTCTTCATCTAGGAGGTTACGATATTAAAAATGCTCAGAAAGGCCGAAGCTTATTTCTATTGATTAAAGAGAAATACCAAGAAAGAAATACTCTTAAAACATAATTAACGAATATGTATACATGTTTAATCTACCGGGTACCTTTCAAAAATAAACATTCTATCGATACCTTTAAAAAATGACTTTTTGAATTTGAATATAGCTTAATTGGTTGAGGTCCAATATTCTACTCCCTGGTGGTTGTGGTTGAAGCTGAACTAAAAAAAAAAACCAGATTTTTTGTCCCAACTATACATCGCAAAATTAATTGTTCCTATGTCTTTAGGTTTACTTTGGTTAGGGAGCACCGTCTAGGAGAAATGTCCGTACGGTTTTGCCATCTTTTTCCCATTCCAATATTAGAGAAATCCGTTGGCGAGAAATTGGCCACTTGAAGATTCTGATCAAATTAATTCCATTGAATAAAAATGCAATTTTTTTTTGTAATACAGTGGGTGTTTTTACCCTCCTGGTCCTCTAAGAAACTCCTTTCTTCTCCTTTTATTTTCATTATTATTATTATTATTATTTCCAATCAATCATTTTTATTGACGTAATTTATGTGCTCGCAATCTCGATTATTTTGAGTTTCACTTGATTATGGTATTTTACTCCGATGCTTCAATTATAATTGAACTAGTCTATTGACGCAGATACCAGCCTTCTCCTCGGGAAGTGGCAGCATCTTGCGATGTCACATTTGCTATGCTTGCTGACCCTGAAAGTGCGGTGAGTATACTTTATCTTCAGTTCTTAGACTGTTTATTTCTGTTTACCAACTTATTCTACCATTTTCAGTTGAACGTTGCTTCCGGAGAAAATGGAGCTGCTAGTGGATTGAGCCCAGGAAAAGGGTATGACCCTACCTTTTCACTTTGTATTACTAAATTTTCCATCAGTCATTACTAGTTCGAGCAAATTCCAGTAAATTTTGTTAAACCTTTTCCCCTTCCGGAACTTCCGATCAGTTTTCGATTTCTTCAATTTGAACCGCTTTCTCACGAAGTCCTATGATAACCTTTGGTCATCATGTATACATTTTATCGTATCCTATTGCCACTGGCAGGTATGTGGATGTTTCAACGGTTGATGCCACTACTTCTAAATTGATTAGTGCACGTATAAAAGATACAGGAGCTCTATTTCTGGAGGTAGAGTAATATTTATAGCCATGCATACAACAAACACTATCGATTTGAACTTAACTGATTGCAACTTTCTTTTAGGCTCCAGTTTCAGGCTCCAAAAAGCCTGCTGAAGACGGACAACTTATATTTCTTACGGCAGGTTAGCAACTTATATCATGAAGGGATTAACATATTATCACTTGTCATACTTCTTACGGATGAATTCACTTGGTCGCCATGTAAACTTTGTACAAGATAGTGCAGTAGTTTATAGCGAGTGCAGAAGAGACTATTGAATGATCGAAATTACAACGTTGAGCTGTATCGAATAGATTAATCAGTTAAAAATTATCCTAATGCCAGCCTGATTTTATTCCTTCTCCTATGAGTCTCATTTATCTATTTTAGGAAGGCTAGAATTTTGATATAGTTGCTTGACATTCAGGTGACAAAGCTCTGTATGAAAGAGTTGCCCCACTTTTTGACATAATGGGGAAGGTCGGAAGAATTTCAGCTATTTATACGATGAACTAAT